AGATGGGTACAAACTGAGCAATCATTGGAAGGACGTTATTAACCAAGTGAAGTCCTAACTGACTCTGATGTTTCCATCCTACCTGCCTATGTCAGCTGTTATTTCCGACTCCATGTGTGTCTCTCTCTGTACCTCTCTCGGATCTCTCCCCCGGTGACTACAGGGTCCCACTTTCTGCCCCGCTCCCTCTCCCCCCTCTCTCTCCCCCCCTACTGCCGAGGCCTGCTATATAACCTCGTGCCACGGCAGCTCTCTCGCCTACTTCAGCAGTTTTTCTTGCTGTAGTTGTCTCACCTGATGACGATTGCTTGTGTTGCGATTGAAACGTCGTGATCTATTATTTTTCTAACTACGTGTCTTTACCAAAAGAACCAAAGAGTTTCCTGTTTCACGTTTTGGCTTCATACTTCATCTGCGTAATGGCACGTGAATAATTGCTATAATGTTTAAACTTAAACTATTTTAAATTTTACCAGGTAAGGCCCACTTAGCATATAGCTCTTTTTCAATTACATGGCTTATCATGTGGACATTTATTGCAGCCAAATACTCTGAACGCGTGATGTTGATTCTAAATCTGAAGAGAAAAACCGGAGGACTCGGAGAAAAATCCACACGACCACGGAGAGACACGCAAACTCCAAATATACAGCATCAGCGTAGAGATGGAACACACGACCTTCTGTAGACCAGGCAAGGTAGTTAACATCTCGCCACCACGGTAACCACGGGGGCGCTGATCGCGTGTACACGGCGTGACAATTTCATTTGTTTGTCTTTGTCGGTGGAGTGCAAAGGGGTTCACCAACACCATAATTATGACCAGATCATGGCGCAGTCCAACCCAAAGAAAATAAACCATGAACCGTTAATAGTGGCCGCATAAACCTTTGTGTCAAGTGTAACGCGGCTAGAGCCTCGCTTGTAGGTGGGCCGCTATAGACGAGCGATGCTTAATTTATTTTTTACGGTCAGAGGCAAAAAGGCGAGGTAGAGCAGTCGGCCTTCGCAACGCAGCCGCTCAGCTCAAATCATTAACGGGGGACACTTTTGTGCACGACGAGTCATAAAATAGGGACCGTGACCGGGTTTTAGCGCCGGCGCGCATTCGAAGGCATTTCTCAAGTCTGCCCCAGCGGGCGTGAGCCCTTGTCGGGACTTGGCACGAGCGTGCGTGTGGCTCCGGTCGCCGCCGCCGCCGCCGCAGCGGTGTGAGCGACCTGCCACGAGCAGCGTTTACGACTCCTTGGTGCGTCCCGATAAAAGTAAGAATGCCGCCGGCTCGTGTTTGCTGCACCATAAATACGCACGGTGCTCATCCACCCCGATATCGGGCAGGGGTTCTTGTGTGTGCCTACCATTGCGGTGGTTGCGATCACCGTCTGTGGCCCCGTCGGTTGATGTCCGATGCCTCTTTTCCGCTGGCGCCTCTCGGCCGAGTCTGGCACGGGGCCCTCACGGCTGCGGGTGGTTTCTCCACCGGCTATCTGCGGCGCCAAGCCGGAAACCAAACCGCGATGTGCAACCCCAGGGGTCGGCAACTAACAAGGACAGTCAATTTCTTTCGAATTCGGTAAAAGGCCGCAACGCGTGTGGTGAATACGAGACGGTGGTCCTTCATGAAAGACGTCACGAAGCAGTTCTTAAAGAGCCGCATGCGGCTCCGGAGCCCTGCGCCAGCCTGACGGGATGTGTTAATCTGGCTCGGGGCCAAGCAGGGCTAGGAGCGAGGTTAAACTTACATTGTTTGCGTGTGACGTCAGTGAGTAACACTGTGAGGACACGGCATCGCATCGTCATCTACATCTGAAGTAGTGGAAAAACCCAACCTTCGTGGCTACTGTGAGCTACAGCGAGGGAAAAAGTATTTGATCCCCTGCTGATTTTGTACGTTTGCCCACTGACAAATAAATGCTCAGTCTATAATTTTAATGGTAGGTTTATTTGAACAGTGAGAGACAGAATAACAACAACAAAATCCAGAAAAACGCCTGTCAAAAATGTTATAAATTGATTTGCATTTTAATGAGAGAAATAAGTATTTGACCCCTCTGCAAAACATGACTTAGTACTTGGTGGCAAAACCCTTGCTGGCAATCACAGAGGTCAGACGTTTCTTGTAGTTGGCCACCAGGTTTGTACACATCTCAGGGGGGATTTTGTCCCACTCCTCTTTGCAGATCTTCTCCAAGTCATTAAGGTTTCGAGGCTGACGTTTGGCAACTCGAACCTTCAGCTCCCTCCACATATTTTCTATGGGATTAAGGTCTGGAGACTGGCTAGGCCACTCCAGGACCTTAATGTGCTTCTTCTTGAGCCACTCCTTTGTTGCCTTGGCCGTGTGTTTTGGGTCATTGTCATGCTGGAAAACCCATCCACGACCCATTTTCAATGCCCTGGCTGAGGGAAGGAGGTTCTCACCCAAGATTTGATGGTACATGGCCCCGTCCATAGTCCCTTTGATGCGGTGAAGTTGTCCTGTCCCCTTAGCAGAAAAACATCCCCAAAGCATAATGTTTCCACCTCCATGTTTGACGGTGGGGATGGCATTCCTCCTCCACCAAACACGGCGAGTTGAGTTGATGCCAAAGAGCTCCATGTTGGTCTTATCTGACCACAACACTTTCACCCAGTTGTCCTCTGAATCATTCAGATGTTCATTGGCAAACTTCAGACGGGCATGTATATGTGCTTTCTTGAGCAGGGGGACCTTGCGGGCGCTGCAGGATTTCAGTCCTTCACGGCGTAGTGTGTTACCAATTGTTTTCTTGGTGACTATGGTCCCAGCTGCCTTGAGATCATTGACAAGATCCTCCCGTGTAGTTCTGGGCTGATTCCTCACCGTTCTCATGATCATTGCAACTCCACGAGGTGAGATCTTGCATGGAGCCCCAGGCCGAGGGAGATTGATAGTTCTTTTGTGTTTCTTCCATTTGCGAATAATCGCACCAACTGTTGTCCCCTTCTCACCAAGCTGCTTGGCAATGGTCTTGTAGCCCATTCCAGCCTTGTGTAGGTCTACAATCTTGTCCCTGACATCCTTGGAGAGCTCTTTGGTCTTGGCCATGGTGGAGAGTTTGGAATCTGATTGATTGCTTCTGTGGACAGGTGTCTTTTATTCAGGTAACAAGCTGAGATTAGGAGCACTCCCTTTAAGAGTGTGCTCCTAATCTCAGCTCGTTACCTGTATAAAAGACACCTGGGAGCCAGAAATCTTTCTGATTGAGAGTGGGTTTCTGTGTGAGTGTGGATCTCTGTGTGAGTCTGTGGGTCTCTGTGTGAGTCTGTGGACCACTGTGTGAGTCTGTGGGTTTCTGTGTGAGTGTTTGGGTCTCTGTGTGAGTCTGTGGACCTCTGTGTGAGTCTGTGGGTTTCTGTGTGAGTGTTTGGGTCTCCGTGTGAATGTGTGGGTCTCGGTGTGAGTCTGTGGGTCTCTGTGTGTGGGGTCTCTGTGTGAGTCTGTGGGTCTCTGTGTGAGTCTGTGGGTCTCTGCGTGAGTCTGTGGGTCTCTGTGTGAGTTTGTGAGTCTCTGCGTGAGTCTGTGGGTCTCTGTGTGAGTCTGTGAGACTCTGTGTGAGTGTGGATCTCTGTGTGAGTCTGTGGGTCTCTCTGTGAGTCTGTGGGTCTCTGCGTGAGTCTGTGGGTCTCTGTGTGAGTCTGTGAGTCTGTGGGTCTCTGTGTGAGTCTGTGGGTCTCTGTGTGAGTGTGGATCTCTGTGTGAGTCTGTGGGTCTCTGTGTGAGTCTCTGCGTGAGTCTGTGCGTCTCTGCGTGAGTCTGTGGGTCTCTGTGTGAGTGTGGATCTCTGTGTGAGTGTGTGGGTCTCTGTGTGAGTGTGTGGGTCTCTGTGTGAGTGTGTGGGTCTCTGTGTGAGTCTGTGGACCTCTGTGTGAGTCTGTGGGTTTCTGTGTGAGTGTTTGGGTCTCCGTGTGAGTGTGTGGGTCTCTGTGTGAGTCTGTGGGTCTCTGTGTGTGGAGTCTCTGTGTGAGTCTGTGGGTCTCTATGTGAGTGTGTGGGTCTCTATGTGAGTGTGTGGGTCTCTGTGTGAGTGTGTGGGTCTCTGTGTGAGTGTGGGTCTCTGTGTGAGTATGTGGGTCTCTGTGTGAGTGTGTGGGTCTCTGTGTGAGTGTGTGGGTCTCTGTGTGTGGGGTCTCTGTGTGAGTCAGTGGGTCTCTATGTGAGTGTGTGGGTCTCTGTGTGAGTGTGTGGGTCTCTCTGTGTGAGTGTCTGGGTCTCTGTGTGAGTGTGTGGGTCTCTCTGTGTGAGTATATGGGTATATGTGTGAGCCTGTGGGTCTAGGTCTCTTTGTGAGTGTGTGTGTGCCTGTGTGTGGGGGTCTCTGTGTGTGGGGTCTCTGTGTGTGGGCTCTCTGTGTGAGTGTGTGGGTCTCTTTGTTAGTGTGTGGGTCTCTGTGTGAGTGTGTGGGTCTCTGTGTGAGTGTGTGCGTCTCTGTGTATGGGCTCTCTGTGTGTGGGGTCTCTGTGTGAGTGTGTGGGTCTCTGTGTTAGTGTGTGGGTCTCTTTGTTAGTGTGTGGGTCTCTGTGTGAGTGTGTGGGTCTCTGTGTATGGGCTCTCTGTGTGAGTGTTTGGGTCTCTTTGTTATTGTGTGGTTCTCTGTGTGTGTGTGGGTCTCTGTGCGAGTCTCTGTGTGAGTCTGTGGATCTCTGATGTAGAGACGCATTATTATCCGCCAGGAGGCTGCTGACCCCTTTGTTGTCTTCTCCTGCACGGTACCCGTGCCGCAGCCTGCGCCGCTGGAGTGAACGGTAGTTTTTCATGAGAGTGGTATTTCTGGACGCTCCCCCGGTGTATCACCGTATTCACCACAATAGAAGGAACCAGGGAGCGGTGAGACGGACAGCGTCACAGTCATGCCCGCTGTCAATGAAGCAACACGAATCGGGTTAGGCACGTAACTACTCTATTAGAAGATGCGCCCAACAAAGTTATACAAGTTTGGCCGCTCACGCGCGAATATTTGTTTTAAAAATCGAAATGCATCTCATAGTTCGGAGATTACGGTAGAGAGCGCGAGAATGGAGTTTCCGAACGCGCATCCGGGCTCCGTCACGTGAGCGAGGCGCCGCTTCCCTCTCCTCGCGAGCGACCCAAAGAGAGAGAGACGGGGAGAGAAAGAGAAAGGGTGAGGGTGAGTGTGAGGGTGAGTTACAGGGTGAGTGTGAGGGTGAGTTACAGGGTGAGTGTGAGGGTTAGTGTGAGGGTGAGTTACAGGGTGAGTGTGAGGGTTAGTGTGAGGGTGAGTTACAGGGTGAGTTACAGGGTGAGTGTGAGGGTGAGTGTGAGGGTGAGTTACAGGGTGAGTGTGAGGGTGAGTGTGAGGGTGAGTTACAGGGTGAGTGTGAGGGTGAGTTACAGGGTGAGTGTGAGGGTGAGTGTGAGGGTGAGTTGCAGAGTGAGTTACAGGGTGAGTGTGAGGGTGAGTTACAGGGTGAGTGTGAGGGTGAGTTACAGGGTGAGTTACAGGGTGAGTTACAGGGTGAGGGTGAGTGTGAGGGTGAGTGTGAGGGTGAGTTACAGTGTGAGGGTGAGTGTGAGGGTGAGTTACAGGGTGAGTGTGAGGGTGAGTTAGAGGGTGAGTGTGAGGGTGAGTTACAGGGTGAGGGTGAGTGTGAGGGTGAGTTACAGGGTGAGTGTGAGTTACAGGGTGAGTGTGAAGGTGAGTTACAGGGTGAGGGTGAGTGTGAGGGTGAGTGTGAGGGTGAGTTACAGTGTGAGGGTGAGTTACAGTGTGAGGGTGAGTGTGAGGGTGAGTTACAGGGTGAGTGTGAGGGTGAGTGTGAGGGTGAGTTACAGGGTGAGTGTGAGGGTGCTTTACAGGGTGAGTGTGAGGGTGAGTGTGAGGGTGAGTTTGAGGGTGAGTGTGAGGGTGAGTGTGAGGGTGAGTGTGAGGGTGAGTTACAGAGTGAGTGTGAGGGTGAGTTACAGGGTGAGTGTGAGGGTGAGTTACAGGGTGAGGGTGAGTGTGAGGGTGAGTGTGAGGGTGAGTTACAGGGTGAGTGTGAGGGTGAGTGTGAGGGTGAGTTACAGGGTGAGTTACAGGGTGAGTGTGAGGGTGAGTGTGAGGGTGAGTTACAGGGTGAGTGTGAGGGTGAGTGTGAGGGTGAGTTACAGGGTGAGTGTGAGGGTGAGTTACAGGGTGAGTGTGAGTGTGAGTTGCAGAGTGAGTTACAGGGTGAGTGTGAGGGTGAGTTACAGGGTGAGTGTGAGGGTGAGTTACAGGGTGAGTTACAGGGTGAGTTACAGGGTGAGGGTGAGTGTGAGGGTGAGTGTGAGGGTGAGTTACAGTGTGAGGGTGAGTGTGAGGGTGAGTGTGAGGGTGAGTTACAGGGTGAGTGTGAGGGTGAGTTAGAGGGTGAGTGTGAGGGTGAGTTACAGGGTGAGGGTGAGTGTGAGGGTGAGTTACAGGGTGAGTGTGAGGGTGAGTTACAGGGTGAGTGTGAGGGTTAGTGTGAGGGTGAGTTACAGGGTGAGTGTGAGGGTTAGTGTGAGGGTGAGTTACAGGGTGAGTTACAGGGTGAGTGTGAGGGTGAGTGTGAGGGTGAGTTACAGGGTGAGTGTGAGGGTGAGTGTGAGGGTGAGTTACAGGGTGAGTGTGAGGGTGAGTTACAGGGTGAGTGTGAGGGTGAGTGTGAGGGTGAGTTGCAGAGTGAGTTACAGGGTGAGTGTGAGGGTGAGTTACAGGGTGAGTTACAGGGTGAGTTACAGGGTGAGGGTGAGTGTGAGGGTGAGTGTGAGGGTGAGTTACAGTGTGAGGGTGAGTGTGAGGGTGAGTTACAGGGTGAGTGTGAGGGTGAGTTAGAGGGTGAGTGTGAGGGTGAGTTACAGGGTGAGGGTGAGTGTGAGGGTGAGTTACAGGGTGAGTGTGAGTTACAGGGTGAGTGTGAAGGTGAGTTACAGGGTGAGGGTGAGTGTGAGGGTGAGTGTGAGGGTGAGTTACAGTGTGAGGGTGAGTTACAGTGTGAGGGTGAGTGTGAGGGTGAGTTACAGGGTGAGTGTGAGGGTGAATGTGAGGGTGAGTTACAGGGTGAGTGTGAGGGTGCTTTACAGGGTGAGTGTGAGGGTGAGTGTGAGGGTGAGTTTGAGGGTGAGTGTGAGGGTGAGTGTGAGGGTGAGTGTGAGGGTGAGTTACAGAGTGAGTGTGAGGGTGAGTTACAGGGTGAGTGTGAGGGTGAGTTACAGGGTGAGGGTGAGTGTGAGGGTGAGTGTGAGGGTGAGTTACAGGGTGAGTGTGAGGGTGAGTGTGAGGGTGAGTTACAGGGTGAGTTACAGGGTGAGTGTGAGGGTGAGTGTGAGGGTGAGTTACAGGGTGAGTGTGAGGGTGAGTGAGAGGGTGAGTTACAGGGTGAGTGTGAGGGTGAGTTACAGGGTGAGTGTGAGTGTGAGTTGCAGAGTGAGTTACAGGGTGAGTGTGAGGGTGAGTTACAGGGTGAGTGTGAGGGTGAGTTACAGGGTGAGTTACAGGGTGAGTTACAGGGTGAGGGTGAGTGTGAGGGTGAGTGTGAGGGTGAGTTACAGTGTGAGGGTGAGTGTGAGGGTGAGTGTGAGGGTGAGTGTGAGGGTGAGTTACAGGGTGAGTGTGAGGGTGAGTTAGAGGGTGAGTGTGAGGGTGAGTTACAGGGTGAGGGTGAGTGTGAGGGTGAGTTACAGGGTGAGTGTGAGTTACAGGGTGAGTGTGAAGGTGAGTTACAGGGTGAGGGTGAGTGTGAGGGTGAGTGTGAGGGTGAGTTACAGTGTGAGGGTGAGTTACAGTGTGAGGGTGAGTGTGAGGGTGAGTTACAGGGTGAGTGTGAGGGTGAATGTGAGGGTGAGTTACAGGGTGAGTGTGAGGGTGCGTTACAGGGTGAGTGTGAGGGTGAGTGTGAGGGTGAGTTTGAGGGTGAGTGTGAGGGTGAGTGTGAGGGTGAGTGTGAGGGTGAGTTACAGAGTGAGTGTGAGTTACAGGGTGAGTGTGAGGGTGAGTTACAGGGTGAGGGTGAGTGTGAGGGTGAGTGTGAGGGTGAGTTACAGGGTGAGTGTGAGGGTGAGTGTGAGGGTGAGTTACAGGGTGAGTTACAGGGTGAGTGTGAGGGTGAGTGTGAGGGTGAGTGTGAGGGTGAGTTACAGGGTGAGTGTGAGGGTGAGTTACAGGGTGAGGGTGAGTGTGAGGGTGAGTTACAGGATGAGTGTGAGGGTGAGTTACAGGGTGAGTTACAAGGTGAGTGTGAGGGTGAGTTACAGGGTGAGTGTGAGGGTGAGTGTGAGGGTGAGTGTGAGGGTGAGTGTGAGGGTGAGTTACAGGGTGAGTTACAGGGTGAGGGTGCGTGTGAGGGTGAGTGAGAGGGTAAGTGAGAGGGTGAGTGACAGGCTGAGTGTGAGGGTGAGTGACAGGGTGAGTTACAGGGTGAGGGTGAGTGTGAGGGTGAGTGTGAGGGTGAGTTACAGTGTGAGGGTGAGTGTGAGGGTGAGTGTGAGGGTGAGTGTGAGGGTGAGTTACAGGGTGAGTGTGAGGGTGAGTTAGAGGGTGAGTGTGAGGGTGAGTTACAGGGTGAGGGTGAGTGTGAGGGTGAGTTACAGGGTGAGTGTGAGTTACAGGGTGAGTGTGAAGGTGAGTTACAGGGTGAGGGTGAGTGTGAGGGTGAGTGTGAGGGTGAGTTACAGTGTGAGGGTGAGTTACAGTGTGAGGGTGAGTGTGAGGGTGAGTTACAGGGTGAGTGTGAGGGTGAATGTGAGGGTGAGTTACAGGGTGAGTGTGAGGGTGCGTTACAGGGTGAGTGTGAGGGTGAGTGTGAGGGTGAGTTTGAGGGTGAGTGTGAGGGTGAGGGTGAGTGTGAGGGTGAGTTACAGAGTGAGTGTGAGTTACAGGGTGAGTGTGAGGGTGAGTTACAGGGTGAGGGTGAGTGTGAGGGTGAGTGTGAGGGTGAGTTACAGGGTGAGTGTGAGGGTGAGTGTGAGGGTGAGTTACAGGGTGAATTACAGGGTGAGTGTGAGGGTGAGTGTGAGGGTGAGTGTGAGGGTGAGTTACAGGGTGAGTGTGAGGGTGAGTTACAGGGTGAGGGTGAGTGTGAGGGTGAGTTACAGGATGAGTGTGAGGGTGAGTTACAGGGTGAGTTACAAGGTGAGTGTGAGGGTGAGTTACAGGGTGAGTGTGAGGGTGAGTGTGAGGGTGAGTGTGAGGGTGAGTGTGAGGGTGAGTTACAGGGTGAGTTACAGGGTGAGGGTGCGTGTGAGGGTGAGTGAGAGGGTAAGTGAGAGGGTGAGTGACAGGCTGAGTGTGAGGGTGAGTGACAGGGTGAGTGTGAGGGTGAGTGTGAATGAGAATTTGAGGGTGAGTGAGGGTGAGTGAGAGGGTGAGTGAGGGTGAGTGAGGGTGAGTGTGAGGGTGAGTGACAGGGTGAGTCTGAGGGTGAGTGAGAGTGAGAGGGTGAGTGAGGGTGAGTGAGAGGGTGAGTGACAGGGTGAGGGTTAGTGACAGGGTGAGTGAGAGTGTGAGTGAGGGTGAGTGAGAGGGTGAGTGAGAGGGTGAGTGAGAGGGTGAGTGAGAGGGTGAGTGACAGGGTGAGTGACAGGGTGAGGGGGTGAGGGTGAGTGAGAGGGTGAGTGACAGGGTGAGTGTGAGGGTGAGTGAGAGTGTGAGGGTGAGTGAGAGGGTGAGTGACAGGGTGAGGGTGAGTGAGAGGGTGAGTGACAGGGTGAGGATGAGTGAGTTGGTGAGTGAGAAGGTGAGGGTGAGTGAGAGGGTGTGGGTGAGTGAAGAGGTTAGTGAGTGAGAGGGGGTGAGGGTGTTTGAGGGTGAGTGAGAGTGGGTGAGGCAGGGTGAGTATGAGTGAGGGGGGTGAGGGTGAGTGAGAGTGGGTGAGGGTGAGTGAGAAGGGGTGAGTGAGAGGGTGAGGGCGAGTGAAAGGGGGTGAGTGAGAGGGTAAGTGAGGGTGTGTGAGGGTGAGTGAGGGTGAGTGAGGGTAAGTGAGAGGGTGGGAGCGTGAGTGAGAGAGGGGGTGAGGGTGAGTGAGAGGGTGAGTGAGAGTGAGTGAGAGGGTGAGTGAGAGGGTGAGGGCGTGTGAGGGTGTGAGGGTGAGAGGGTGTGAGGGTGAGTGAGACGGTGAGTGAGGGTGAGTGAGAGGGGATGATTGAGGGTGGGTGAGTGAGGGGGTGAGGGTGAGTGAGAGTTAGAAGGTGAGTGAGAGGGTGAGTGAGGGGGGTGATTGAGGGTGAGATAGGGGGGTGAGTGAGAGGGGTGATTGAGAGAGTGAGGGTGGGTGAGAGAGGGTGAGTGAGAGGGTGAGAGAGAGGGTGAGAGAGAGGATGAGTGAGGGTAAGTGAGAGGGGGTGAGGGTAAGTGAGAGGGGGTGAGGGTGAGTGGGAGGGGGTGAGGGTAAGTGAGAGGGGGTGAGGGTGAGTGGGAGAGGGTGGGGGTAAGTGAGAGGGGGTGAGGATGAGTGAGGTGGTGTGAGGGTGAGTGAGAGTGAGTGCGAGTTAGTGAGAGGGTGACGGGGTGAGTGAGAGAGGGTGACGGGGTGAGTGAGCGTGGGTGAGAGGGTGAGGTGGGGTGAGTTTTGCTGTGAGTGAGGGTGAGGGGACACACGCGCGTCTTCTGTTCGTCCAGGAGAGACACGCTGGCTCGCAGAGAGTCCTGCGTTGGGTTTTTATGTTAAGATATTTTCAGGCAATTATTGACGAGTTGTGTTTATCATACACGTGCGGAGGAAACCGTAGCACCCGGAGAAACCCCACTCACGTGAGGGGGGTAACGCTTTGAGAATGCGATTAGTCCACTTGCCGTACCACCATCTCATGGCGAGTCAGAACATGGATTCGACGCCGATTGGAAGGAAGATTCGCAGCATTTGTGCCATCCACCAACCCTCGCCTCCACAGTGCTGGATTACAGGCATGCGTCACCACCGCCCGTGTCACCCATCACCCCACCCAGCCAGCCACCAACCCACCCAGCCACCAATTTCCTCAAGCATTGAGGCATTGGTGCCCATCTTGTTCAAAGTGATGATCCAGTGGTCTAAATTTTACATTCCAAAAGCCGATGCATTTTATAGCCACTGCTGACTTCACCCCATGTAAAGTGATAGTTTATCGATCCCGGAGAGATGATGGGCTGAGTCGTAGCTTTGAAATTACGTGGAATTAGGTTTTGCCTGAAGTATATCCCTCCCTAAATGCCAAGGCACTATTTTTCTTGTGGAATTGACTTCCATTATGAGACCTTTGCCAGTAGCAAGATATAGTAATAGGTTTTTACCCTTTTATCTGGCACCAAAACTGACACCTTTATACAAGGGATCATGTTTGCAATAACCACAACACAAGCAGTCAAAATGCAAACAAAAAGAGACAACTCTGATAATGATATGCACTGTCCTTGAAATTGATTGGTCCACACCCGAGACGGCTTTTCTTAGAGCCTTTGCTTGTGTTGTGGTTATTGCAAACATGACCCCTTGTATAAAGGTGTCAGTTTTGGTGCCAGATAAAAGGGTGAAAACCTATTACTATATGTTGCTACTGGCAAAGGAGGTATAATGTAAATGCTTACCCCGAGCTCTCAATACTCTGATAGTGCGCTGTTTTTGAGTTGTATGCCTTTTGGCGTCATCTGGTCCAACACCAGTGGAGACTAGGCTCTAAGAAAATCCGTCTCGGGTGTGGACCAATCAATTTCAAGGACAGTGCATATTATCAGAGTTGTCTCTTTTTGTTTGCATTTTGACTGCTTGTGTTGTGGTTATTGCAAACATGATCCCTTGTATAAAAGTGTCAGTTTTGGTGCCAGATAAAAGGGTAACAACCTTTTACTTGAATTTACTTCCATCGGACAGGTTTACAGTGTTTTTTTGGATTGCCCATGTGTTTCTCAGAGCTGTGGAGCTGAGTGTGGGCGATGGCGGTGGCCGTGGACATCAAACTGAAGCGCGCAAACAAGGTCTACCACGATGGGGTGAGGCGCTCTCACTTCTTCACCTCTTCACATCGTCATCTCATTTGATCGTAAACATCGTCATGGTTGCCATCTGATCATCTTTTCCTAATCAGCAATAATCTATCCACTGCTGGATGAAGACCTCTGCCAGTTGTCCCTCACGATCCCGTGATGTAGTAATCCACGTGGCACCTGAACGTGAACTCATTCCAACGCTCCATCTCCACGGTAGACGTCCTCTAAGAGCCGCGTCACAGTAGTGTGATAGCTAGTTAAACGGAGAGTGTGCGCGTGCACGCGGAGCAGGAGACGGTGTCGGGGCTCGTGGTAATCCAGGGCAGAGACACCATCCAGCACCAGGGCATCTCCCTCGCGCTCGAGGGCACTGTCACGCTGCAGCTCAGCTCCAAGAGCGTGGGCGTCTTCGAGGCGTTCTACAACTCCGCCAAGGTGCACGTTGTCACCACCGCTGCCACCGGTGCCACCACCACTGTCACCACACCACAACCACTACCGCCACCTCTGTTGCCAACTTCGCCGCCGTCACCACCACTGCCACCATCAGTGCTGCCGCCACCACCACCAGCGCCAATGACACCGCCACCACCAACATCACCACCACCAGGGCCACCACTACCACCGCTGTCGCCACCACTACCACCTCCGCGCTCCCAACCCACGGCTGTGCCTTCAACTCCATTATTCATCATCATCATCATCATCGTCCTCACTGTCGTCACCTTCATCGTCATCATTGTCAAGTCATCATCATCATCGGCCATGGTCAATCCACTATGAGGTGAAGGCCTCCCAAGCTGCCACCATCTCTCACGATCTCGGAATGTCACAAAAGACAACGCCTTCACAGACTGTTAAGGCAAGTGCTGTTAGCGAGCACCTATGTAGGCCGGCACAGTACACGAGGGGGTGGCTGGCCAACACAACGCCGGACCGCCTTTGTCTCCCTAGTGATGATGTTTTTACACACCGCACCAGGTACTCATTTGAGGCTGATTCGACCTAGGGGAGGCCCAGGACTGGTTCAGATAATTGTCACTGGTTATGGCCATGAGCAGGAATTAAACTCGGGTCGCTGGGTTCACGCTCAACCGCTACACCACCGCTCCCTCTCACGATCCCGTGATGCAATAATCCATCCGGTACCTGCACACCGACTAATTCCATCTCTCGCTCCGCTTCCACGGTCAGCCTCGTTCCCTCGCTTGGCTGCCACGGGTTCCAGCAGCGGCCCGCCTAACATGCTGCTGCCTTGCTAGGGGCACTGTGGTGGCGAGATGTTATCTCCTTCGCCTGGTATGCAAGAGGTCCTGGGTTCGATCCCAACCCTACACCTGTATATTTGGAGCTTGCATGTGCTCCCTATGGTTGTGTGGATTTTTGTCCGGGTCCTTTGGTTATTCCCTCCACATTTAAAATCAACATCACGTCTTTAGAGTATTTGGCTGCTATAAATTTGCGCATGATAAGCCACTTAATTTAGCTTTCATTTGTGGCCAGGTCGCTTCTGAATAAGAACCATATAGCTCAGTGGGCCTTGCTTGGTAAAGTTTAAAGTTTAGTTTAGAGTTGAGAGCGTCACTTCACAGCGCTCCGCTCAAACCGGTCAGGCTGCGCCGTCGCACGTCCGACACCGCCCCCACGTCTGTTAACGGGATCCGTCGCCCTTGATGTTTCTTCACAGCCCGTGCAGCTCGTCAGCAGTTCTGTGGAGGTAGCGAAGCCGGGGAAACTGCCATCGGGGCGCACGGAGATCCCCTTCCAGTTCTGTCTGAGAGCCAGCGGCAGCAGCAAGGTCCTGTACGAGACCTACCACGGGGTCTACGTCAACATCCAGGTGCGCAGCACTCGTACGCGCAGACACACCCGCTGTACGGATTTGCTGCTTGCGTGCGTCCGTACGTCCGTGATGCCGGGCCCACACAGCTCGGTTGCATTGCAACAGAACATGCTTGTTTGTTGACGTGTCTGCAACTGGTTGCTTGGGAGATGAGATGGACTCCGACTTCCAAGCGTCGATCCGGCCACCGATTTGTCGTTGACATATTTCATCACGGGACACGTTTGCAAGTTACGATCGGTCGTTACGATCCCGACGACGTGGGTAGATGGTGGAACTAACCTAGGGGTCAGTAAAAAAAACCTCAAAATTTCAAGAGCCGCAATGCATGTGACTACAAGATGGTCCTTAATAATTAAACAATCCTAATTGAGCTTCAGGTTGCCATCCTTTGCCCATGGTAAACTGAATTCTCAAGGTCAATGGTCGGCAACAAAAATAACAAGCAGAGCCTTTTTTTCTAATTTGGTGATAAAAAAAATTCAATATTTCAAGAGCCACACTGCAGTCCTTAAAGAACCGCATGCAGCTCCGGAGCCGCAGGTTGCCAACCCCTGGACTAACTGGACAAGGGACGTGGGCCACGCACATCTTTATTGTGCAACTGCTCGCCTCGGACACGGACAAAGCCGTCGCGGGCAATGGTTACGTAATGCCACTGACCGCTCGGGAACACGGCACCCCCGTATCCGGGACTGTGGGAGGATGTGGCGCGTGTGCCCGGCTTGGTGGAGCTGGCGGTGTGAGTGTCTCTGTGTGTTTCTCTGCGTGTCTATGTGCGTATCTATGGGGAGCGGTAGTGCAGCGGTTAGCGCATTACGCGACAAACCCGGCCACCCGAGTTCGATTTCCGCTCACAGCCAACATCAGTGACAATTATCTGAACCGGTCATGGGCCTTCCCTTAGTCGACTCAGCCTAAAATGATTACCTGGTGCGGTGTGTAAACCTTGCCATTAGGGAGACATTGGCAGTACGGCTTTGTGTTGGCTACTCACCCCAGGTGTATTGTTCCGGTATTCATAGGTGCTCGCTAACAGCAATTTCCCCAACAGTCTGTTAATGCGATACGGGGGATCTTTGTCTCTGTGCTTGTCTCTGTGCATGTCTCTGCAGTACACTTTGCGCTGTGAGATGAAGCGATCGCTGCTCAACAAGGACGTCCACAAAACCTGCGAGTTCATCGTTCACACTCCGGTCAGGAGCGATTGGATAACTACAATATTTATTTATGCTTCTTTTACTCTGGAAAGCCTCACTGAGTCTTAAAACTCTTTTTTAGGACCGTCCTACCAATTTTTCGCAGGAGCGGCTGCTGCTGCGTCTTGTCCCAAACGAGTAATTTGTAGGTAAATGTTCAGCATTGGGATGTTTGGCCAATACCAGGTACATTGTAGGCTTTTTTTAGCTGTATGTATGTTGAACTTCTTTCGCACTGTACATCGCCAGCAGTGGTAATTGGCGGTAGCTATGGGATGAATCTGTGGAACGTGGAGGAAACCCATGCAGAACAGGGGGAGAGAACATGCTCCACATAGAACCGTGCCCGAGTTGGGAATTGAACCCAGACACTTATTGCTTTGAAGCACAGGCATTCCTACTGCTATATGGTTCCAGCCCTTGTATGTCCGTTGTATATTGTAGGCTCAGCCGGAGCCCACGCTGGACACGATCGTCAAGTTCGCCATCACCCCCGCATCCCTGCAGAAGCTCAAAGTGGTGAGAGCGATGCTCTAACGGCGACGATGAAGTTCCTCCTCCATCTTGACTGCAGGAATCCATACTCTCTGGTTCTTTCAATAAAGTCACGTAGATAGAAAAATAATAAAAGAAAACACGATGTTTCAGTCGCAACACAAGCATCCGTCTTCAGGTGAGAAGAAATTATCTGCTGTTGTGGCTTTATAAAACTTGATATAAAGCCACAACAGCAGGTCATTTTATTCTCACCTGAAGACGGACGCTTGTGTTGCGACCGAAACGTCGTGTGTTCATTTATTCATTTTTTTATCTACGTGACTTTACCGAAAGAACCAGAGAGTATGGATTCCTCCTCCATCTTGCGGCTCCATTTAACCACCCACCCAACCTCCTCACACTCCATCTAGAGCCACATGCAGCTCCAGAGCCGCATGTGGCTTATTAAGGACTGTTTTATGACATTAATTATTAAGGACCACCGTCTCGTATTGACATGCATTGGCGGCTCTTGAAATATTGGATTTTTTTACCGAATTCGAAAAAAATGGCTCATATTGTTATTTTGGTTGCCGACCCCGGATCTAGAGTCACCCTCATGACTGCAGTTGATTGCATGACGGACGCTTTCCATGACGGATGCTTCCCCACCTTTTGTGATCTTCAGCGCTCCTCGTGAAGAGTCCAGTCCCACTTCTCACGCTGTCCCACCACCTCCATTTAGACTGTTGGGTGGGTGGACAGAGGTGGGCGAATTTCAGAAACTCACCTGGAGACAAAATCGAACCGGTGAAGTGCAGCGCGCCGCTAACCGTTTCACCGCATCAGCGGCATCTGTGCCGCAGCGTAAGGTTGTTATCGTCCCCAAAGAGGTGCAACGTATCGCCTTGCAGAAGAGTTCCCTGCCCAACTTCCTGATCAAGGGCTGCCTGAACACCACCAACTGCGAGGTGACGCGGCCGCTGTGCGGGGAACTGCTGGTGGAGCACTGCGACCTCCCCCTCAAGAGCATCGACGTGCAGCTGGTGCGCGTGGAGACCTGCGGTGAGGCTGCCCGTTCTGACGGCCGCGCGTCTCCCGCATTCACACCTCACCCTGCCTTGTGTTTTCTGTGTAGCGTCCCGCGCGACGTGCAGGTGCGTGAGGGAGTTAAGAGAGGGTCGTGCTGTCACGGTGCCCCCGCTCCCCCCACAGGCTGTGCCGAGGGCTACGCGCGCGACGCCACCGAGATCCAGAACCTGCAGATCGCCGAGGGGGACGTGTGCCGGGGAGTCGCCATCCCCATCCACATGGTCTTCCCGCGCCTCTTCACCTGCCCCACGCTGCAGACCACCAACTTTAAAATCGGTGAGAGCTACTACGACTACTATCATTATTATCACTACTACTACTCCACTTCTTTACCCAGGAAAGCCTCAGCGAGTCTCAAGACTCTCAGGAGGTTCCTGACAAGTTTTTTTCTCAGTAGAGGCCGATGTTGCTGTAATTCTGATGTCATTTTTCAGCTTTGGGATGTTTGACCTATACCAGTTACATCGTAGGCTTTTTCTTTTAGTTGTATGTACGTTGAATTTCTTTCACACCGTAAATAGCCAACCATGTTAATCAGAGGTAGCTATGGTGGGATGAATCCGTGGAAGCCGGAAGAAACCCGTGCAAAACAGGGGAGAGAACATACAAACTCCACGCAGAGAGACACCCCACCCCAATCAAACCCAACAATTTGTTATTGCGAAGCAAGCGTGTCACCACCAGGCCGCCTCCTGCGCTGGTCAGCGACCCAACTCCCATGTGTCTTGTCCACTGTGGTGGAATGCCATGAGTGGTTGATTCTTTCAGCCACGGTGACACAATGCCTCAAATCTGGCGCATGCAGTCCTCCTCTCCGTTGGATGTCCTCCTGTATGCAGTGTGACCACCTAGTGGTGGACGCCGTGACTGCTACGGCAGAAAGACGGTTAATTCGAGTCCACACTGTCACATACCTACTATAATTACCCAGGAATGTCTGTCCTTAATGCTCGTGACGTCACTCCACATCGACCAGCCCCCTTATTAATATTCATGAGCAGGTGACACCCTCCAAATGGACACCCCCCCCCCATTCATAATAATTAGCGGCTGTCGTCACTCCCCATGGGGGGCCGAGGCGCCTCCTTTCCCCTTTCCTTGGCGTCATCTTAGAACCCTCACTACAAAGGCAGAACCCTCACGTCACGCGATCTCCGTAACGATATTGAGACATCAAAGTAAAAAGGACGGCGTGATGAACAAGGGATTATAACCTTAAAATGAAATAGGTCTGTGTCACCGCGCCCTTCAAATTGCACACGCATTGATGCAATGAATATCACGTCGCGGTCTGCTTTTCGCTTGCAAGTTTCAGATTTACTGTAATACACTCGTCCTTGGACAGGTAAAAGGCTAGTAAACTAAATAGTTTTTATTTTACCAGGTAAGGACCACTGAGCTATATACAGCTCTTTTTCAGACACGACCTGGCCACAAATGATAGATAGCTCAACGAAATGGCCTATAATGTACTCTTTGGTTCTTTGGGTAAAGTCACCTAAGTAGAAACATTAAATAAAAAATAATATATCACGACGTTTCGATCGCAACACAAGCGGTTGTCCTCAGGCGGGATAAATAAATAATCCAGCAGTGGAACTGCTGAACCAGGAAGAACACAGCGAGAGAGCTGTTACAACAGCAAGAGGTTATATATGTTGGCCAAGGGCACAGGCGGGGTCCAAGCTGGAAAGGAATTCCATCCCCGCACACAAGCATGTCAGTTGTGTTAATTTGGGAGATTAGGGAGAGAGATTAGGGGGAGAGATTAGCATGAAATGAGCTTCCGTCGCCGCATAAGAGTATCGTCCCCACATATGCGCACAGCAGCAGTGTTAATGGGAGATGAGCACTATGCTGATGGGAGAGATTAGGCAGAGCGATTAGCAAGTTAATATCATGTCTATGTGTAACTCAAGCTGCGGCGCTGCTAACTGCGCTGTGAGAGGCAAGTGGTGGTCATGCCAGTAAGACACACAGCCCATCACATAGCCAGAACCATCGATACATCGAGGCTAAGGGAGCAGAGGTGGCCATGTTAGTGAGACCTCAGCCCGTTAATGCAGAGGCACCCAACAGGGCAATGCAACTCAAGAGAGTCGGAGATAACAGCCAAACGGCAGGAAGGATGGAAGGACCACAGCAAGTTACGACTTTGCTTGGTTAATAACGTCCTTCCAATGGTTGCTCAGCTTATACCCATGTTCTCGGTTGAAATTGTCTCTGTGTTTATATATCTGGATGGCTTCATGGACAAATCTTTGATGGTAGCCCGAAGGTTTGCAGAGTACCTTGGTCTCGGAAAAAACAATATCGTGCGAGCCCACTGTGTTATAACAATGATCAGCCACGGCAGAGGAATTGGTTCTGCCATGTTTCAAATTTGCCATGTGTTCGCGAACACGGTCCGAGACATGTCGTTTCGATTTAAAGCTTTCGTGACTGCAAGGATTCGTCTTCTTTGGTTCTTTCGGTAAAGTCACGTAGAATGAGAATAAAATAATAAAATAACACAATAAAATTCTCACGACGTTTCGGCCACAACGCAAGCGGCCGTCTTCAGGTGGAAGGTACAGACGTGTCGGGACGACAGAGCTTCAATGAACGATGTTAAGATTCGTAGCGACTTTTAAGCTGGTTGGGAGAAGTGAGGCACCTTGACAAAGGGGTTTACATATCAAATAGCTGAGGGATTAGCTTGTGACTGGCCACAGGAATGGCTATGTTGAAGTCAAAACCTACACATCCACAGAGGCACCTCGTACATGGACGCCAAAGGGGGCTGCAACACCATATAACATTTTGATATAACATTGAGGTAGTTTATATTTTAGTTTTTATTGGTTTACTATATGGTATTCATTATATAGTGTAGTGTATACCCAGTTAATGTTAATAGCTCAGCTTATTGAAGAATATATTGAGTATATTTATTATATTGATGTAATTTAAAATTAGGTTTTTCACATCGGTTTACTGTATGACAGTTGAGTTGTTGCAGCCCCCTTTGGCGTCCATGTACGAGGTGCCTCTGTGGATGTGTAGGCTTTGACTTTAACATCTATTTCTGTGACCAGTCACAAGCTAATCCCTTAGCTATTTCAATGCTAAATTACTAGTTGCCTCTGTGGATGTGTAGGTTTTGACCTTAACATAGCCATTTCCGTGACCAGTCACAAGCTAATCCCTCAGCTATTTGATATGCAAACCCCCTTTTGTCAAGGGCCTCACTTCTCCCAACCAGCTTAAAGTCGCTACGAATCTTAACAGCGTTCATTGAAGCTCTGTGGATGTGTAGGCCTTTACTTTAACATCTATTTCTGTGACCAGTCACAAGCTAATCCCTTAGCTATTTCAATGCTAAATTACTAGTTGCCTCTGTGGATGTGTAGGTTTTGACTTTAACATAGCCATTTCCGTGACCAGTCACAAGCTAATCCCTCAGCTATTTGATATGTAAACCCCCTTTTGTCAAGGGCCTCACTTCGTGATCTGATCCCATCCATGAAGGATGTCATTCCTGACTTACAGTACCCCGGGGTTTACAAATTGAGTTGTACCTGCGGTGATTGCTATATCGGGGAGACAAAGCAACATGTCTCTGACCGAATTCGCGAGCACAAATCAGATTTGAAACACGGCAAAACGAATTCTTCTGCCGTAGCTGATCACTGTTACAACGCTGTGGGTGATCACGATATAATTTTCTCCGATACCAAGGTTTTTTGCAAACCCACGGGTTTTTATCAGAGATTTGTTCACGAGGCAATTCAGATCTACAAACACAGACACAATTTCAACCGAGAAGATGGTTTCAAATTAAGCAACCATTGGAAAGATGTTCTAAATCGAACCAAACATTAAACTAATTTTCAATGGTACAGTATATTTTTCAAGTAGTGGTACCCCAAACTTTCGCAGCTCTTAAAAAATTCCCTTTTCACACCATCAATAGGTAAACTCCCCCTCCCCCCCCCGCGCCAAACGGCAAATGCACCCGCACGTATACCACCTCTATGGTAAGTCGGCCAATCAAATGCTAATTTTTATGCTAATTCCTTTGTCAAGGCACCTTGTTTCCTCGCACACAGCTTAAAGGCCGCGGTCTGAGCGTGGCTGTGTTTCACTCCAGCGCTGTCCTCGAGACAGCCTGATCCCTTCACCTGATGAAGGCCGCTTGTGTTGTGGCCGAAACGTCGTGATTTTTGTTTTATTTTTTACCTACGTGACTTTACCGAATAGAACCAAAGAGTATGGCCTCACTTCTCCCAACCAGCTTAAAGTCGCTACGAATCTTAACAGCGTTAATTGAAGCTCTGTGGATGTGTAGGCCTTTACTTTAACATCTATTTCTGTGGCCAGTCACAAGCTAATCCCTTAGCTATTTCAATGCTAAATTACTAGTTGCCTCTGTGGATGTGTAGGTTTTGACTTCATCATGGCCATTTCCGTGGCCAGTCACAAGCTAATCCCTCAGCTATTTGATATGTAAACCCCCTTTGTCAAGGTGCCTCACCTCTCCCAACCAGCTGAAAGTCGCTACGAATCTTAACAGCGTTCATTGAAGCTCTGTGAATGTGTAGGCCTTTACTTTAACATCTATTTCTGTGACCAGTCACAAGCTAATCCCTTAGCTTTTTCAATGCTTAATTACTAGTTGCCTCCGTGGATGTGTAGGTTTTGACTTTAACATAGCCATTTCCGTGACCAGTCCCAAGCTAATCCCTCAGCTATTTGATATGCAAACCCCCTTTTGTCAAGGGCCTCACTTCTCCCAACCAGCTTAAAGTCGCTACGAATCTTAACAGCGTTCATTGAAGCTCTGTGGATGTGTAGGCCTTTACTTTAACATCTATTTCTGTGACCAGTCACAAGCTAATCCCTTAGCTATTTCAATGCTAAATTACTAGTTGCCTCTGTGGATGTGTAGGTTTTGACTTTAACATAGCCATTTCCGTGACCAGTCACAAGTTAATCCCTCAGCTATTTGATATGTAAACCCCCTTTGTCAAGGTGCCTCACCTCTCCCAACCAGCTTAAAGTCACTACGAATCTTAACAGCGTTCATTGAAGCTCTGTGGATGTGTAGGCCTTTACTTTAACATCTATTTCTGTGACCAGTCACAAGCTAATCCCTTAGCTATTTCAATGCTAAATTACTAGTTGCCTCTGTGGATGTGTAGGTTTTGACTTTAACGTAGCCATTCCTGTGACCAGTCACAAGCTAATCCCTCAGCTGTTTGATATGTAAACCCCTTTGTCAAGGTGCCTCACTT